TTTTTTTTTTTTTTTTTTTTTTTTTTTTTGGTGCTGGGGATTGAACGCGGGACTTTGCACTTGCAAGGGAAGCAGCAGAACCACTGAGCTAAATCCCTGGCCTATTTGTTTTGTGTTTGAGACAGGGCCTTGCAAGATGTCCAGGCCGGCTCTGAATTTGCAATTCTCCTGCCTCAGCCTTCCAGTGCTAGGATTAAAGGCACATGCCACCATGCCTGGTAACACACTTGAAACACATTAGGCATGAAGAATCTGGAAGTTTGCAACTTCCTTGGCTCAGTTAAAAAGTGTGTAGGGCAGAGGAACAAATATAGCAAAGTGTTAACAACTGGTGAACTGTTAACATATGTTTGTTCACTGAATCATTACTGCAATTTTCTATAGGTCTGACGATTTTCAGAACAAAATACTATTTTTTGTAATTGAAATGAAGCCACAAAGCCCTGCTGAGCACCCTGCCCCCTGTGAATCTTCTCTCCCACTCCCCGGGGTTCCCTGGGTCCCCTGGCCGTCGTGCTCTGGGCACAGCCACCTCAGGGCTCTGGTGCACGGAACGCTCTTCCCCATGTTCCCGTGGTTCACAGCTCACTTCCTCCTATGACAGGACCACCTGCCACTCCCGAGCCTTGTGCCTTCCTGTTCCAGCTTCAGCGCTGCACCTCTCCCTACCTGACCTTCACGTGTCAGCCCTCTCCTCCCACGGAGCACAAGCTCCTTGAAGGCAGGGTACTGGCACTGGTCCCAGCCGAGTCCCGGCCTCATGAACACTACCACTTGAGCGGCAGAAGAGTGTTCAGTAACAACCTGTTCATGAAGCCATAGCTCTGCAAACGCTCGTTTAAAAAAACAGAGCACTCACTCATTCTGAAGTTTCTGAGTGAAAGACTGCTAAGTATTTGACACTTTTTCAGAAATGTAATTTTTATTTATTTTTATTTATTTGGTACAGGGGATCGAACTTGGGACCTTGAGTTTGTGAGGCAAGCAGCAGAGAAATGTACTTCTGAATAACTCTGTGCTATGAAGTTGCTCTACAGATAACTTCCCACTTCTGGAATTGTGCTTGAAGCAGGAAACAAGGGTGCTAGAGCAATGGACGCTTTATTCCCATTCTCCACTCACACACCAAAAACAGAAAACTGTGTACTCTGTGATTACATGAGCCATTTCCCACATCCCTTCTCTGAGAACTCATCCACAGACCTAAAACCCTGGGCTCCCAAAAACACGGAAGACCTGGGGCCCCAGACGAAAGCCGCCTGATGTGGCACACAAGGCATTCCACCGGCTTTCCTGCTGTTCTGGGTGTGCAGGTCAGCACAAGCTGGCGAGGAGACAACACAGGACAACAGTTTTCCCGACAGGAGTTCTCTCAGATGGCGCACCTTCCCGAGTTACTTACGTCCGTGGAGGTGGGGCTGGGCAGGGACACAGGCTGCACAGGTGCAGGGAAAGTGAATGTGGTCTCTGTCCTTTCACTTTCAGGGGAGTCGGGATGACTGGATGGGGGGGATGCTGGGGTAAGGGCTCCAAACCCCAGCACTGCATTGTATTTTGGAGGACGACCTATATACCGAGAGAAGGGAACAAAAGGGGGGAAAGGGGGAGGGAAAAAGAAGGGGAAAATGATCTTACATACCTTTGGCCAGTGTTCCTCATTGGCTAGCATGGAAAAGGAAGTGAGGTAGCAGACAGAAGGTTAATATAACAGTTCCAAAGGGAGGAGTAGAAGCAAAGATATAAATGTCATTAGAAACAGCTACACAAATTTGCAAAGGGAGGAGAGGAGAGCCTGGGAGAGAGAAAGGAGGTGTTGGCTATGTAAACAGGCCTCACTGTGGGCACATTAGGGTGCTACTCCTGGACTACTGCAACTTGATATCTCTAGTGCTAAGACCAACACAGCCGCGGAAACCAAGCTCAGGAACACAGGCGTTTCATCCCCATGTCTTTGCATATAATTCTCTAAGATTTTCTCAGAGAACCTATCGTCCCATTTGTACTACAACACTGTGCTTTTCAGTTCCCACAAACGGATGTCTTCAGCGTTTCTGCTTTTCATGTCTCTCCTCTCCACGCTATGGTCATTTTGCAGCTGGTGAAGCTTGAAAAGACAAAGTGAGGAGGCAAAACTCTAGTGAACTATTCTCATCCCTTGCTGTGAGGGCCTTTGAAAGAGACGTTCTGGGAGTAGCTGGAACCTAAGAGTAACAAGAGGGTCTGGGCCTGACAAGGAATTTGAACATTTCTGGCCCTGGACACTTTACCCCGTAGACTGAAAGCTGTCTCCTCACCTACACCACATTTTGGAGAACTACACTGTCTGAGATAGGGGTTGTTCCAAAGTCCCAGGAAACGGCCTGCCGTGAGCACTCCCGAGAGGCATGGTCTGAGACAGAGCACTTTAAATCAAACCTCATGCTATGAGGATTCTGTATATGAGCCCCAGGGCTGCAGGAATTCTAGGGCCAGCCAGTCCTGCCCAAGCACATATTTAAGCAAGGGTCCTTGCCTTCCAAGAGCCAAGGCCATAGCTTCTAGGTGTGATGATTACAAACATAGTCCTGCATACCAACGGAAAAGAAAGACCTATAGCAGTCAGAACTGCTTATAAGCACTGGCAAATGGCGCGTGTGGAATTACAAGTTTGCCAACAGTTAACTAGTATTAGGGTTATGCAGTCGTGATCCTATCAGCCATTACACAAATACTACCTGTGCTAAACTGGCAGTGTCTACAGCACAAAGACAGATCGTACTGGTTTGTCTTTTCTAGGGAGCTCAGTGCTGCAGGAGGGGAAGTGAAGATGAATGCTCTTTGTTTATCCATGGAAAGCACATCCTAGGCATTGGAAATGCAAGCTTTTATCCTCTGACCTTGGCAAGAGACTCCAAGGTCTTTCTGGCTCATTTAACCCCATCCTCTCAGCAGATACTGCCCACCAGTAGGCCAATTAATTGTGGCCTCTGGCCGGGGGCTTGTTTCTGAGAATTGTGCCAGAGGTCTCTAAAACAGCTGAACACAAAACAACAGAAAAGAGCTTATGGCACTAGTTACTGTGGCCCAGGAATCAATATAAAACAGTAACTTGGGGCTTCCCATCCAAGTATTTTTGATTACTTGAAGGACAGGACTGCTGAAACATCAGAACGGTTCACTAAGAGGGGGTATGACATCTTTTTTGGGGAGGGTATACCTGTAGTTCGGCCTAGGGCAGACAGAGGGTCAGGCTGATTTCCCAAGCTTCTGAGAGCTCACTCTGAGGTTGTGTGTGCATACGCAAAATTAGTATGCTGGTCCACTCACTCTGCAACCTCTCTAGTCTGGAACTATAATTTAGGGACACATTACCACATGGAGAAAAGAACCTTGGGATGTATTACTGACATCAAAGAACAATCTAGGTACCTTGTTTATGAGCTCAAACCCTGAGCTATTAAGACCTATTTAGACCTGCTGGGTTAGAGATGCCCCTGCTGTTTTCTTGCTCTAAGAATAGGGTGAATGCTTCAGACGGTCTGAAAGGCTGGAACAGCTCTTCAGGAGTCTGTTAGGGGAGCTTATTCCGACAGTGACCTTTTCTTCCTTTGCTAGAGATGCCCTGTTCTCAAAGACTCTAAGTTCTCTCCTTCCTGGAAAGTCTGCAGCACAGAGAAACTTTAGAGTCACGTTCTAGCCTCCCTGGCAGCAGAATGACTGAGACACTATTAAGAACACCTTGGCAACAGCAGTGCTCCGGCTCTGCTTAATGATGCTGAGATGCTCCCTTTCACACGGTGTTCTGTCCCCTGTGCTATTCACGGATGGCCTGGTAGGCTTGGGGCAGAAATGCTGCATTAAGCTGCTCTCCTGAGTCAATTCTGCCAGAACCCAGCCAAGTAGCTTTTGACTCTAATCAGAAATCTCACTCTCTTTCCCTCCATACTCAGAGAACAGCAAAAGTATTTTCAAGGGATAGAGGAGTCAGGTTTGGGGAGGATGACGGGAGGAGGGAGAAGAAACAACACAGAAAGCACAAGCAGTAGCAAAGCAAGACAGAGATTCAAAAAGACACTCACCTCTCTTCCGGGTCCCCGGATGCATTGTGCTGTTTAGGTAGGTGACTGCACTCTTCTTACGCTTTGGGGATTGAAGAAGGAAAGGTGACTGGCACTGCCACAAGCAAAAGACCGCCTACAACATGCCAACTAGTGTTAATCATCCCAAGGTCTCAGGCTAACAGGTTTTATCACATATACTTGGCTCTCAGAGAATATTCTAAAGAGGTCTGCCTCTGCTTCAGATGAGGGCTATAAAGTCAGGACAAATTAACATTTTAAGACAGGTTTGTATCTGCTCAAACTTAGAAAGAAAACCTAGAGGGTAAGCCGCGAATAATAAAAATGAAATAATGGATGAACCAGGGAGAAACCCATCATTTCACAGAGCTGGCCAAGTACAACCTGCTGCAGCTCATGGGCAGGCTTTCAGATGGGAGGGAACAAGCACCCCATGAATCAAGGGAACTAGGAGGGAAAGGGTGGGTGCTGGCAGAAGTACCTCTGGCTCAAAGACCGCTCCGCTATACACTGGATTTGCTGTTGTTCTTCTTTTTCTCTCTTGTCTCTTGCTTTGGATTTCTTGGGAAAATAAAAGGGTCCAATTAGAAATCAGGTATGGAAAGCCTAAGTAATGGAACTTCATTGTTTATCTACTGGTTTTCCTGTAACGAATCAGGGACAGGGACAGGGACAAGACTGTTTTCCTGCAGCCTGCACACAGGCAAGCACGATCTGGAAGCAACTGCGTGGGACCATCTACTCTCACCTCTCAGGAAGCAAGGCCACAGTGTGGCTCTCTGTGATGGAGAGTTTCACAGTGTGCCATGCTTGTAAACAAGCTGTCCTGGTTTATTTTTAGACTGCTGTGTATGCAGGTCTAGATGGACTTTCTCCACAGACTTAGATGGAGTAACACAAGTTCACCATTCTTGAACTATTTAACCAGCCAGGTCAGGCATGGCTTTGTAACTGTCCTTAAGATTCTGAGTGACTGGAAAATATAGACAAGGGCTTGTTAGATGAGCACTTATCCCTTTGTGCTATCAGAATGAAAACGTTCCTCTATGGTGGACAGAAATCACCTTAATTCAGGAAGCTGGGGACGTTTTCCCCGGGCAGGAGTATGGATGATGCCAGGCAGGGGAGGGCCTGACATAAAATCGGGGGAAGGCAATTTTCCTCTAAAGGAAATAAAGTCCACATTGGGTGACTCACACTCTATTTGTGTTCCAACTCTCTATTCTAGGAATTCAATCAAACACCACTGTGAGGAACAAAGCTGTGGGCCAGAAAGAAGCAGTGCCAAGAATATCTTCTCTTACCTTCTAGATGGTCATGTGTTACCAACCCTAGAGACACCATGAAGGCAAGTTTCTGTGCCAAAGAAACAAAAAAATGAATATATTTCAGTCTGGATTCTTGCAAAGACACCTGTAGGTTCCTAGTTATACACCAGGGAAAGCCGACCCAGTGGGCTGGTGCTTGTGGGAGGCTGAATTCAGAGGAACCAAGAGTGGGCAGCTCCCAAGCTGCTCTGGTACATTCCGGTCTGACAGGGCCGACAGAAGAAGGGTGGGGCTTACATCTCCCACTTTCTCAATGTCAGAAATCAGCTTTTTTTTAAGACAGGGTCTCACCATGTAGTTCAGGCTGGCCTTGGACTCACTATGTAGTCCAGGCCGACCTTGAACTCTCAGAGATCCTCTTGTTTCAAGAAATTAGCATCTGGAGGGACCCAAAATTATTATTTTTTTTTCTTTCATAAAAATCTTAAAAGAAGAGGATTTCATACTTGAAAACATAAAGTTTAAAGAGCTTCCATATCACAAGTTCCAAATCCCAAGTCACGATTTCTCTTGGCATGACTAGGTTGGAGGTTCTCTCGCTTTTACTGCCACTGAATAGACAATGCTAACTCAAAGCTAAATGCTTTTTAGGAAGAACAGAATGGGCTTGCTCAGTATTATGATTTTTCAATTAAACATGGCCCTACAAATAATGGAGAAATTTCTCTCCGAAGGCTATTTTTAGGGCTCCATCAGAAGAAAGGATTATTAGTACACTGCACCCCAAACATGGAATGTTAAGATACTTCCAGCTGGAGAGAAAAACAGATTGATTTTTGTTCTCTTTGGTTTTCTGTGGTCTCACTTTCTGTGTATCACGGTGTGTGGTTTCTAAATATGCCAAATGAGATACATCATTAATTTCTTTCTCTAATGAATGACTATCTTCAATTATTAGGAGACATACCCCTATAGAGTTATTAAATACTAGAGCTTGGTCTTTAATATTTTTGATGTCTTTTCCTCAGCATAAAACATTATCTACTTGGGCCTAAAGTGACAGAATCAGTATGTTCGAGATACATTCCTTGAGCAGGCTACTTGAGAATGTAGGAATGTTCTGTATTGATACCTTCAGGGTCCCAAAGAAATCTTTTTATTTATTTCAAAAATGTAGCCTCTTGACAGCCAGAATATTCCAGTAAGGCAATGTAAGCCCTGGACTCACAGTCAATTTTCTGTGCTTCGCATTGAAATGGTACGTGTGTTGTGGCTAACAATTACCCACATTCCTAATTTTCACTGTACTTTGTGTGACTTGATGTTCAGATGCATCCTCTTTTAATCAAATAACAGCACTCTTCTTGGCTACTCACATCTAGTTCATCTTTGCCAGTCTAGATCAAGCTCATAAATAATTATTAAGTAAACAAAATCTCTTCTCTTGTGGAACATATTTTCAATGACAGAATAAAGAGTCATTGAGGAGCTGTGCCTCCCTCCTGCACATACCAAGAGCTAATTTACTCTCCGTGTGGCAGGGATTCTGTTCAAATAGAAGGTGAAGTATCTGGGACTCCACACACGGGCACTTGCCTGCCCAGTGCATGCCACTGACATGAGATTCTCCTCACTTTTTCACCTCTTCTTTCTGCCTTCCTGCTTCCCTCTCTGTCTCTTAGTGCTAGGATTCAGTTTCTTTTTTTTTTCACTTGAAAATCCAAATTTATTGACAAAAAGCAGTGAAGCTTACGTGTTTTAAATCAGCGTGCTAACTTTGCGCATTTGCCAGAACATGTCTATCTGAAATACGAATAACTATGGTCTGGCAGTGAGTTGTTCAAGTAAAAATATGATTCCATGAAAAAGGGGCTACGTCACCTTGCAATTTCATCATGGAATCAGTTTCTTTTGACAAAAATCTTGCTAATATTTTGCTCTATTTTTCTTCCATCGCTGTATATTGTCATTAATTTTGTAGGTGATTATACAGGTTACTCAGCAATTTATAGTGTGTACTTTGTGGTTCAAGTTTTGGTCTTCTCTCTACAGCTAAAATTAAAACTTCACTTTATATCAGAATTACATTTGATGTAGTACTTGTTTTAGAAAAACATGGATTAGCTAAATAAATCACTACTTTTTTATATATAAAAAAACTAACACAAGGCTTTGATGGCTTCATGCCACTATCATCTGACATGGTTTCATTACCAAGAATGTAGCAAGGACAGAGGGAAATGGATTACTGGATTAATAAAATTCAGCGATCAGATATTCATCATCATATTACCTGTCCATATTTTTCTTTTATAGTTTGTGCAAAAGCATCAAACTAAAATATTCTCTCGTCTAAGGACATACAGATGCACATTCCACATTTGTACCAGGGCCCTGCATGCTCTTTATCACTGTATCCTAAGCTGTAGTCTACATGTTACTATTTGTCATCCCTTCTTTTGTGTTTAAATGAACTACTTTTGAGCTATTGGTTCATTCAGGATTTGTAGTTCTAATGCAATAAAATGGTAATAACAAAAATGCACATTTAACTCCCATAATTAACAATGTTTATAGACATTAGCTGAGTGAACTGGACATCTTATAAATGTCTGAGAAGAACCAGAACATAATTGTCATTTGGAATAAAATAATAGTCATTTGAAATAAAATAGTTATCAACATTACTTTTACATTTCAAAATTGTGCTACATATACAAACAACATCATCTTAAAACTATTCCTTTGAAACACTGAAATACATGTCAGTACAAAGCTTTTTAGGACCACACTCTAAGAAATCTGCTCTAGGCCAACCTGACTTGGCAATACATTGTCTCTGTTTTGTTTTGTTTTTTTGAAACAGGGTCTCACTATGTAGTTGAGACTGACCTGGAACTCACTTTGTAGCCCAGGCTGGTCTTGAGCTTACAGGGATCCTCCTGCCTCAGCCTCCCAAATGCTGGGATTACAGGTGTGTGCCACAACGCCCAGCTTGCAATACATTGTTGAATAAAAGAAAGTACAAGAACAGAAACGGGGAGTGGCTCACAAAGCAGGTGCCCCTCCTGTCGTGTGAAATACACCACACACCATATGGACTGGGCCATCACAGACTGGAAAGATAGACCTACCTGTGGGTTTTCTTCCCGTTTTGGTTTGGGTGCAGCAGGAGGGGTGATGGTACGGCTTTCTGTTTGTTTCTCATCTGTTTCTGTGTGGGATTTAACTGTCTAAGAGAAAAATTAAATGAAAATTCAAAATTCATTTTTATTAAAAGAACAAAAACAAGAAGCAGTTTAACTGTGGCCAAGAAGAAAGAAGAAAACATACTCAAAACTGGGACCTATTAATAGAGGAGTTCATATTACAGATTTCATTGGGGGGAGTAAAATGTTAAAATCCAGCAGAAGTTATTAGATAGCAAAATTGCAATAAATGAGACTCTACAAATGCAACAGTCTAAATTACACAAAGAGAAAATTCATGGTATAATTCCTGTATATAAAAATGAAGTACAGGCTGCTCTGATTTCAGTATTTTGCAGGAAGTAGGTGCGGTGTCGCAGAAGCAAGGCCACCATCATTATATATGGGTCAAGCTCTAGTCCACAGCACACTACAGAGCTGAGTGATGTTTACCACCTTATATACCTTTATTCGGGATGTTTAAAGTCTCCCTATATCATATTCACTAGAAGAGCGATGCAATTGCCAAGAAAGGGGCATTTTGCAAGAGGTTGGAGTCCTGACTGCTCCCAGCCCCTTCTAGGAGGATCTATGTAAACATACAAAGTACCAGTCGCATTACTACATCCATACAGAAAAGGCAGCTAGCGCACAGGTAAACTGTGCTTCTGTTATTAATCTTGCCATGACCTAGTGGGCTAATTAGTTTCATGTTCTGTAAATACTCTAGTGATTTTAGAACAGTATGGACATAAAACTATAAATACAAGCCTAGCTTACTTTTTCAAAACTGAGAAAAATTGTGGGTGTCATGGTCTTTTTATATGGTAACCATTATAAGTAATTTAAAAATTAGAATGAAATTATCTCATTATCCACAGGCAGGAGCCAAAGTGCAAGACCGGTCCTCTAAACACAATATCAAAATCATTTGAAAATCATAATGCTACAAAACGTTTTACTAGACTGAAAAAAAATTTAGAATCACAAAGATCTCTCACATCTCTTATTTTCCTCTGTTCTCCATATTCAGGAAACTGTGATGATCTCTCCTATCAGTGCTGTGGCAACTACTGATCTTTTTTTCCAGTCATGCCATGTGTCTCCCATTTATACTACAAGCTACTTGAGAGTAGGGGTTGTTTTACACAAGCTTTATCTTTGTAGCCCTATGTGAAAGGCAAACCTTTGAAACAAAACAAAACAAAACAAAAAAAGAAAAAAAGAAAAGCAAGTACCTCATACATTGCAGGTATACAGTAAAGACCTGACTGATCTGAGTGAGGAATATGTAAGAGATCATTGAAGACACACACTTTCTCTCTTTCTCTCTCTCTCTCTCTCTCTAACACACACACACAAATGGGGTTTTAAATTTAAACAAAAAGACATGTTTCCTCCATTAAACAAAACTCCAGTGAAAAACAGGCTAATATTTTTAAGTTCCTGGGTACTCAGAAAGTGTATTTTCATGATTCTTTGGATGTGGAAGGACAGAAATATGAGGGAGGAGAGAGAAGGTCAATTACAAAGCTCTGCTGTCCAATCCCAAGGCTGGATGAAGTAGCCTTTAACTCTCTTACTGTTTCCAAAGATGAGGAGAGCACTAGGGGCAATGCTTCTGGGGAAGGGCATTACCAATACCTCTCCACTGCGAACTACTTGTAGTCCAAATTTCTTTCATGCAAGGAGAGTACCTACCAGAGAGCCTGATAAAAGGACATCAAAAGCCTCCAAACAAACAAACAAACAAACACACACAAGGCAATCAAGACAATGGTGGATCTACTGACCCAGGAAAGCCAGCTGTCTTGTGTGCAGCACTGTGCAGAGACCAAGTGGTAAGAACTGCAGCTCCTGTCTATAGCATGGAGAAGTGAGGCCTGCCGGGAGCCACCGGACTGAGTGGCCTAGTTAGGCCTTGAGGTGACTGCAGTCCTGGTCAACTAGTCTGATCACAAACTCGTGAGGAGTCCTGAGCTACAACCAGTCAACTATGCTTCAGATCCGAAAGCCGTAGAATGACATATCTGAAGTAAGAAAGTGGAATTTCCCAAGCAAGCAGAAACACTGACCAAGCTCTTTCCCAAAAATGAAGTGGACACTTCCATATAAAGAAAAGATGAGGACATTCACTGCTAGAATATCTACCTTAAAAAAAATACCAAAGGGAGTCCTTCAGGCTGAAAGACAGTAGACAGTAACTCGAAACCATATGAAGAAGTAATTCTGATAAAGGTAACTACACAGGTAAATATTAAAAATGCCAATATTATTATACTTTTGATTTGCAGTTTTTCATTTTGTTTCCTATATGATTTAAGAGACAAATGCAGAAAACAATAATTATAAAGCTATATTAGCAGGAACACAATGTACAAAGATTTAATTTGTGACAAGAACAACATAATGTTGGGGGATGACATCTGTGTAAGAGCACAGTTTTTGTATATTATTGACACTGAACTAAAGTTCACGCCTGTAATCTCAGCACTCAGGAGGCTGAATTGGGAGAACTGCCGTGAGTTCAAGGCCAGCCTGAGTTCCAAAATAATAATAATAATAATAATAATAATAATAATAATAATAATAATAATAATAATAATAAATAAATTGAATTGGTATGAGTTAAAACTAGATTGTTAGGGCCGGGGATGTAGCTCAGTGGTGTTATGCCTGCTCACAAGCACAAGGGTCTTGGGTTTGATCCCCAGGAGCAAAAAAGAAAGAAAAACAACAACAACAAAACTAGATTGTTAAAAAGTATAAATATTAGCTGTTATCTCCATGGTAACCACTAAAAATTATACACAGAAAAGAAAATGAAGAAAATACTAGAAAAAATATCAAACAAGGCAGTACTAGAGGAAATGAGGAACAATAAAAATAAAAAAGATATAAGAAATGTAGAAACAAATAACAAAGTGGTATAAGACGTTATCAGTAATCATGCTAAATGTCACTGGATTAAACTTACTATAAAAGACAGAGCATGGCAGAATGGATACAGCAGGTGACACACACACAATGCTGTCTGCTATAGACTCATTTTATTTATTTTATTATTTTTTCTTTTTTATTTTTTTGGTACCGGGGATTGAACTCGGGTCCTTGCGCTTGCAAGGCAGGCCACTGAACCGCTGAGCTAAATCCCCAGCCCTGGACTAATTTTATAATGAAAGACATAAAAAGGTTGAAAGTAAAATGATGGAAAGAGATAGTGCATGCACATAGTAACCCAAAGGGTTCAGGGACAGTAACATTATCATTAGACAAAACTGACGTAAAGTCACAAATCTTTACAAGAGGCATACAGTAGGAGGTTATTATATATGGACAAAAGGGCCAATTTAAAAGAAGATACAATAACTGCAAACATATATGCCTCAAACAATGAAGTCCCAAACATATGAAGCAATACTGACAGAACTGGGAAAAGAAATAGGCTGTTTTCAATAATAGTTGAGGCTTTCATACCCCATTTTAAGTTACAGATACAACATGTAGACAGAGGATGAAAAAGGATATAAAGGACTTAAACACTGTAAGTGAATTAAAGAAAACTCCATCCAACATTACAGTATGCATTTTCCTCAAGTATATGGTGGAACATTTTCCAGGATAGATGCTTCAGGCTATAAAACAAATCCAAAGTAGTAAAAATTAGGTGATGCAGTGAAAACAGTGCAGAGAGAAATTTGTAACTATGATCATGTGCGTATTAACAAAGACCTTAAATCAACCACCTAACTTTTATACTTGAAGAACTAGATAAAAGAACTCAACCCAAAGCTAGCCAAAAGAAGAAAATATATTGAAGTGGAGGTAACTGAAATAAAGAACAGAATCTTTAAATGAAAAGTTAATTCTTCGCAATTATCAACACAATTTATTAACTGATTAGATTAAGAAAAAAGAGAAAATATGAAAACTAAAATTAAAAAATGAAAGCGGGGACATTACTATAGATTTTCTTTCTTTCCGTCTGTCTGTCTGTCTTTCTTTCTTTCTTTCTTTCTTGCTTGCTTGCTTGCTTTCTTTCTTTTTTCATATCAAACTCAGTACCTTGTGCTTGACAGGCAGGCAGTGCCACTGAGCTAAATCCTTGGCCCTGTTATGGATCTTAAGAGTAGTAAAAAACATTGTAAGAATAAACTAAACAATTGTACAACAATAAATTAGGTAACATAGGTGAAATACACAAATCTTTAGAAACACATTACTCAAACTGACCCAAGATGAAAAAGAAAACCTAAATAGCTCTATAACAACTAAAGAGACTAAAACAGCAATCAAAATCTTCCCCCAAATCAAAAAGTACAAGACCAGATGGCTTCACTGATGAATTCTACCAAATATTTAAAGAAGAGTCAGCACTAATCCTTCTCCAAAGTCTTTCAAGAAACAGAATCTACCTGGGGATTTAGCTCAGTGCTTCTGCCTCCTGCCTCACAAACACAAAGTCCCCAAGATCAATCTAAAAAAAAAAAAAAAAAAAAAAAAAAAAAGAAAGAAAAAAAGAAACAGAATCTTAATTTATTTTATGACATCAGCATTACCCACCCCGTCCAAAGCCTAAGATACCAGAAGAATAGAAAATTACAGATCAATTACATTCATGAATATAGATGCAGAAATCCTCAGGAAAATATAGCAAACTAAATCCAACAGCACATTATTACATAATATTTGGGGGGGGGTTGGAGACAGGGTCTCATTATGCAGTTCTGACTGGTCTTGATCTCACAGCAATCCTCCTGCTTCACCCACCCAAGTGCTGGGATTATGGGCGTGTGCCACCACATACAGCTCTAACAGCAAGTTAGGAGGATGATATACTCTAAACAAAACTGGATTTATCCTAGGCATAAATCCTGGAAGGATAGGTCAGCATAAGATCAAAGTAATATATTACATGAATAAAACTAAGGAATACATGGTCATTTCAATTGGTGAAGAAAAAGCATTTGTTGGCCAGGGATTTAGCTCAGTGGTTCTACTGCCTTTCTTGCAAGTGCAAGGTCCCAAGTCTGATCCCTGGAACA